ACCCTCTGGAAAGTACCAGCTTTTTCTTCCATTGAGCCAGGGTAGACTTGTTGAGCCAGTATTTTTCTAATTTCCTAAAAATGGCTACCCTTTCAAGAGGAGCTTCCCGGGCACTTGGATAATTTACGGTTTTATATCAACTCTCTTAGCACAAATATGACTATTTTAAAACATAGTGATTAAGGACAACAGTGGGTCACACACTGTCTACCATTGGGCTATATCAACATGCTTCACATGACCTAGATAGAGACTTTTGTGGCACCCAAGAATTGAGACTTTTTGGAGTAAATGCTTCATTATGATAGACATTAAAGAGATCTTACAATAAGACATGGAAATACCTGTGGGAGCAAGGATAAATATACGACTGAAAGCTTGGGAAAATGCCATTATATATATATTTCATAATACACATATACTCCTGAGTGGTTTAGTCTTACTGAGTCCTGGCACTGACAGCCAAACCTTTTGATACCCTAATTTATTAGCTAGGAACCTCTAGTAAACCCTCAGATCCCACCACTCCATTGCAAGGCTAAGATTTCCCTTTCTACAGAGAATGAAATAAGTCTTTGTTAAGGTAACAGTTGCTGCTTTGACTCAGATCAAATCATCTCTTGATGGATTACTGTAGTCATTACTTCTCATAGGTAGTTTCTTTGTCTTCTGCCTCCTCCCTACCCTTCCCCAGTTTATTCTCTATAGCACTGAATTTTCTCTTTGAAATGTAAAACAGAGGGAACTACTTTTCTATTTAAACCTCTATTTGTTCTTATCACCCACCAGGATAATACAGAATAAGCCCTGGCTGTATCTTCCTTTCCCTTCATGTGGAATGTCTTTTGTCAGCTTGGATAATTTCTATTCTTCAAACCCTGTAATGATCCCACTCTGATTCCTTGAGACAGTATTGTCCATTTCTGGCTCTTTGTTACTTTGTACATGCTTCTGTTTTGTGACTCAGACCACAATGTTATATAGGATAATTATTTAATTATAGAACTATTGCTTTCCTTACCAACAAGGATCATGTGTACTCAGCATCTGGCACAATCTAGAAATATACTAACACCTCAATAAATGTCTTGCCAAACTAAGCTTAGTGGCTTGAAAATTAGTAGCTTCATTTGCAAATACAAATAAAGTAATTCTCTGTTTTCAGTGATTTAGGCAATATGGTGTAGTGGGAAGGACATGCTGCAAACAGCTTTGTGTGATCTGGTTTGGATGTGGCAGAGTCCTCCATGTCTGGGAGTGGGGCAGGTGGCAGGATCTCTGCTTGTATTATGGGTTGAATTGTATTCCCTTAGAATCCATATGTCAAAGTTCTAGTATGGGACTTCCTTTGGAGAAAGGGTCTTTATGGAGATAATTAGATTATATAATTAGTCTAATCAGGGTGTTGTAATGGATTTAATTGTGCCTGCTCCCCAACTCATATGTTGAAACCCTAACCCTCAGTAATTCAGAATGTGGCTGAATTTGGAGAAAAGGTCATTTTAGAGATAATTAAGTTAAGATGAACTCATTAGTGTGAGCCCTAATCTAATCTGACTGCTGTGCTTTTAAGAAGAGGAAATCTGGACACACAAGGAGACAGCAGGGATGTGCATGTAGAAAGGAAAGACCACATGGGCAAAGGGTGAGAAGGTGGCCTAGGCAAACCAAGGAGAAGATTTAGAAGACTCTAAATCTGAGCTGATCTTGGAGGCACATGCCTGTAATCCTAGCTGCTTGGAAGTCTGAGATTGGAATAATCACATTCAGAGGCCAGTCTAGGCAAAAAGTTAGGAACACTCCATCTCAGCCTGTAAAAAGCTGGGTACGGTGGTATGTGCCTGTCATTCTGCTCTTAGGGAAGCATCAATAGGAGGATCTTGGTCTAAGCTGCACTGACAAAAAGTAAGACCCTCTTCAAAAAAGTTATGAAAAGAGAAAGGGCTAGGGAAGCAACTCAAGTGGTAGAGTGCCTACCTAGTTAGCCCTTAGTTCAAACCCTGGTACTGCCAAAGGAGGGGGGGAGAGACAGACAGACAGACAGAGACAGAGAGACAGAGAGAGAAAAAGACAGAGAGACAGAGAGAGACAGAGAGACAGAGAGACAGAGAGGGAGGGAGGGAGGGAGGGAGGAAGGAAGGAAGGAAGGAAGGAAGGAAGAAAGAAGGAAGGAAGGAAGGAAGGAAGGAAGGAAGGAAGGAAGGAAGGAAGGAAGGAAGGAAGGAAGGAAGGAAGGAAGGAAGGAAGGAAGGAAGGAAGGAAGGAAGGAATCCAAATGTGTAATACCTTGACCTTGGACTTCTTGCTTCCAATAAACTTTAACAGTTTAAGCCATTTGGTCTGTGGCCTTTTATTTTGACAGGCAAACTAGCAAATGAAGACACCATGGCAAACTTAATGAATAATTTCTTGCTGATATAGACATGAACTGAATCTCAGACTATTGCCTCTAGAAGGAAACATAATAGTTCACTCTTTTTTTCCCTTATTGTTGATGAAACAGTGGCTAGAGAGAGGGTAATGACTTCCTGGTGTCTGTAGTTCTCTTACCAACTGGTTGAGGTCCTGACAGAGGTCTACCCATAGCACCATGTTTCTCTTGTTGACCACACTTATAAGAGTTTACTACAAACCCAGCAGTGGTTCATACTACTGTCTGCTTAGTCTTCAAACTGTTATATGGGTGAGGCATCCTCATGTGCTCTCTTAGAACGTCTAGAGTCAATGTATCTTAGTGTAAGCTTTATGGCATATCAAGACTTTGTTATACATTAGATTCTTATCGAGCATAAAAGGAATCATCTCTCCCATTTTGGGGATAGGCCAAAGTAAAAATTCCAGTGCCTTGTCTTTCATTGGGTTGCTATAACAAAGAGGGCTATGCAAGGGCAACAGCTACTTCTACCTCCACTCAAGGAAACACGGCCTTTTCATTATGGATGATGAGGCATTTGAAGTACATTTTCTCTTCTACTAATGCCTATAAGGATTCCAGGGTCTCCATAACATGTTTTCTGTGTTTTTATTCCACTTAATCTTTTTATTACTCTGTTTTCTCATCTATAAAATAGGAGATATTAATAACATGTATATTATTTGGTGACTGTGAGAATTAAATAAGATGTGATATTATTGGCATATAATACACAATCAAGGCCTGCCCATTATTGAGCTGAGTGCTCAAGTCACAGAATGCCTGACTAGCAAACATGAGATCCTGAGTTAAAGCCCCAGCATTGCAAGACCTGACAATGTGCTTATTTATAGATAAGCACCTGTGTCCGAGAGACTGTGTCTAAGAGATTGGATGATTTATCCTTGTAACTAGAATGGGCAACATTGCATCTAAAACTTCTAGGATGCCATTCTGAAATGTTTCCTCCTTTGTAACACTGTTTTCTTGATTCTGCTAACATTTTCTGAATGTCTGTGGGCAGGGAGAGACATCTGGATTGAGATTAGCCTCTCTGAAAATGATTTGTGGCAAGCATTCAGATGCATTCAGAAAATGGACAAATGGTTGACCATTGCCATAAAATAACTGGAATCTAGTCCAATGCATTAGATTCACAGAAGAACTCTGAGGCACATGCCTAACATCAGGGTGTGTTTTCCCATCTGAGAATCCTCCAAAGGTTTCAACTGTAGGAGGCATTATGCTGAGGGTGTAACCTAGCTAAATTCTTGCCTCTGCCATTCCGAGTCATCTAAGAAAGGTTTGACACCAAGTCAACTGCAGACAGAAATCTCCATGGAGTGACTTATTTTCTCCCAGTGGGTACAAAGAGGAAAATATTGAAGCCTAAGCAATGCCTCACAGACTCAGCAGCCTGGTCCTTCTGTCCTCAGAACTGTCTGGAGTAGGGATTCAGGAACCTTGGTGCAGGGGATAGTGTTCTGTCCTGTTCCTCATTGGGCTTACTTAATCAAATTTCTCTTCTAACAGAACTATGATGCTTTCTTTGAGGAAAAAGAAAAAATCCTAGTGAAAAGATCAAGGTTTCCATGCTACTTCCATCATCTACAAGTTAAAGGAGTTTGAGGACAATAGTTCAATGCATGAACTTCCAAGTTCTTCAACTGTAAAATGAGCCTAATGAAAACACCTGTGTGGCAAGAAGTTGTGAGAATCTAAAGAGATTACACAGTTCAAAGTCCTTTGCCAACAACAAAGTGAGACGCAATTAATGGTCCTTATTCCTCCACTTTCACATTCCAGGTCTTAGTTTTACCTCTCTGATTCTTCTGGCCTTGAGCCTGTTATGAGATTCACAATTGATTCTATAAAATGAAGCTCTTCATTATATCCTCTTTTCATTATCTAGAAAATGTTTCATATCTTTATCATGTATTGCTCAAGAGAAGAGACTGCACATCATATCTACTCCCAGTCTCTAACAGCATAGGTGATCAATAAATGCTTATTGGTAGTGTAGAGCTGTTTCACCATTCACATCACGTAGACTTGGGAGTCAGATCCTGCTGCCTGTACTCCTTCCACCCAGCCATTCTTGCAGGTTGGAGCTAGGGAAAGGGAGGAAAGATCACACCTTGGAGACCTGACCTCTGGGTCTGGCTCTACATTTTTCCCCTTGGTTCTGAACTGAACATATAAAACCTCCCAGAGGAGCTGGGAAGGTGGCTCAGTGGTAGAGTGCTTGCCTTGCATGCATGAGGCCCTGGGTTGGATTCCTCAGCACCACATAATTAGAGAAAAGCTGGAAGTGGTGCTGTGGTTCAAGTGGTAGGGCACTAGCCTTGAGCTGAAGAGCTGAGGGACAGTGCCCAGGCCCAGAGTTCAGCTTCCAGGACCAACAAACAAAACAAAACAAAACACCTCCTCGGGCCAACATGAGAATCACTGAGTGCATGCTCATTGAATGCTCACCAGAGGCTCTTGCATTATAAAGATGATGTAAAGTGCTGTTGCCAAGGTGAAGACCTTGGCTATGGAAATAGAGCCATTGCTGTGGCACTCTATCTGCCACCAGGATACTCACCGGAGGAGTCTGACCTGCACAAATATGATGGATTGAAGGTCTTGATGCCATTGCTGACAGGGTTGCTCGCGTTGCAGATGTAAATAGTGTCAGCATGTTGGGGGCCAATGGTGATGTATAGGAAATGGGAATTATTGTTGGGACTCTCCAGGTGGGTGCCTCCCTCATCAGTCCAGTTGTAAACCACATGGTCCCCCTTTTCCACCATGCAGGCTAGCATCAAGCGACAGGTCCCATTCTCACTCTCCTGGGTTCTGTTTAGAACTTTAATTTCTGGAGTGGAGACCTGTTCTGTCAGGAGGAGGAGAAAGAGAGCCATTACCAAAAGAGCCCTGTGGAATTCACCCTTACCTTCTGCCAAAACAAAATGCAGCCAAATGGCATTTTCCCTTCCTGAAGGGGCCTCAGTGTGAATTATCTTTAATTGGAAATGGTTGTTTCATACCATCTCTCACTATTCTCTTTTCAGGTTCCTCTTGAAAGGGAACACAGGAGAATTCTGTTTTCTATTTCTCCTCTGTCAGTACTGTTAGGACTACCCTTACTCTTCCTGGTGTCGTCATTCTAGTTCTCCTCTATTCCATCAAAGTGAAGTGGGTTGTAATTGGCTTAATGTATGACTTCAAAGACTCGAAAGCCAGAGTTTTCAGTGGTAGGATTCCATATACAATGTGTGCATGTTTGTGTGTGTGTGTGTGTGGTGTGTGTGGTGTGTTTGTGTGTGTATGTGTGTGTGTGTGTGTGTAACAAGTGCTTTTGAGGATCTAGGTACATACATACACACACACACACACACACACACACACACACATATATATGTTGTTGTTGTTGTTGGTCGTGGGACTTGAACTCTGGGCTTGGGCACTGTCCCTATGCTCTTCAGCTCAAGGCAAGCACTCTACTGCTTGAGCCACAGCGCCACTTCTGGTTTTCTAGTGGCTTATTGGAGATAAGAGTCTCATGGACTTTCATGCCTGGGCTGGCTTTGAACTGGGATCCTCAGATCTCAGCCTCTTGAGAAGCTAGGATTACAGGCGTGAGCCACGGGTGCGTGGCTAGAGATATATTTTTAATCATAGCCATCAACCTATTCTACTACCTATTCTACTGTCATGAAATGTGCAAGTTAAAAGGGGCAGTCTTCATTTTGTTTAGGTCCAAGACCAGGATTTGAACTCTATATCTGCCACTTTTGCTCATTGGCTAATGCTCTACCAACTAAACCACTCTTCCAACCCCAAAGGGACAATCTTGTTTATTTACAACTTCAGTAGGACAAACACAGTGCTGGACTTGTGGACCTGCCATCTTTTTAATTTTCTCAGAAATTATAACTAGCTATAATTACTCCCACTTTATAGATAAAGAAATCAAGTCAGAGAGATATGGGATGTCTTACATAGTTGTACACAACTTCTGAGTTGGCCAAACTGAGATCAGAACCTCAGTCCATCTGACTCAAACTCTGGTCTCTTTCTTTGACTTGAGAAGAAAACCATGGCTGCACATATCACACTTTTGAAAGTGTGACAGGTGTGACAAAGGCAACTGCCTTTGTACGAACAAAAGCATAGAATATATGACATACACATTATTTTGAAAAACACATGGTGTGAGGCTTCCACATTCATAGCAACCTTGTTCTTGGAGAGATCAAGACTCCTAGGGACTAGTAGAGGTTTGTGGGAATTCTGTGTGTCTTATTTGCAGGAATGGGAATGCTATGACAGGAGAGGGACAGGGAGCTTATTTCTGTCCCTCCTCTAAATACCTAAGGATTTCAAAGGCATGCTGAGGGATAAGACTTCCTGCTCTATTCCCATACATAAGGAAGTTACTTTGAAAAATCAAGAAAGCTCCATAAGGTTGCCAGAATACATGATAATTCAGATGAGTCTTTGGGCCCAAGGCACAGACGCTGGGGATATTAAAGGAGAGGTGGCAGTTAAAGAAGCTCAGAAGAGTATTGGCCTTGGCCTTGGGTGGATGCAGGTTCTAGTTTAAGAACTGAGAACTATACCTAACTAGCTGTAACAGTAAATGGAGCTTTTGTTTAAATGACAGAAAATAAAAACGTTCTTCCACCAGGTAGGTGTGATCCTCAGCCAGGTTTCCGGGCTTGCTGAGTGGTGTGTGGGTGGAATTTCAGGTCTTTCTGCCCAGAAACCCCAGTGTAGTATACTACCTCCACGAAAGTAAGCAAGTGCATGCTGAAGCATACACAAATCACTTCTCTCTGCATTTCAGTCTCCTCTCACCTATGAGAGGTTAGGTGGTGTTTAAACTGTTTAAAAACCAGGAAACTATTCTTTTTTTTTTCCCAACAAAATCTCATTTTCAAATGAAGACTCTTGGGACTCTATACCCTTCAGCTCATGAGCAACTGAACTTTTCTTTTGAAAGGATGAGTAGCTACAGCGAATCAGCTACCATAGTGAGTAACTTGAAGGGGAAAAGACCCTTTCCATGAAGCACAGTTTAAGTACTCCTTGGATTGGATGATCTTTCAAGTTGCTTCCAGTTCCAAATATCATTCGCTGATGTGAAAGGACTGAATTCCTGGGCAAGAGACCATCTTGGCCTTGTTGTATGGAGTAGAGAAACCCCCATTATTACCATAAAGCTTCAGCTCCACACAATACTGCTTGACTGACACATTTTCCTCCAGGGAAATAAAGTACCATCCCTCATTCTCCTTCCTACTTCTCAGGATCTGCAGGGTCAGGTTTTCCAGGTGAAACTGATATCCAACTTCCAGGTAAGGAGAGTCCCTATTAGACGTGTGGAGAGACACAATTATCGTCTTGGTGCTGCTCTCACGAGATTTTGCCATTGTGACAATGATGCGGATGCTTTTGTTCATGCTCTTGTTTATCTGTTCATGTGTTAGCGGCAGCAATGTGTTACTTCCCAATCGCTGGAGAATCTTTGGGCAGTTCATATCACCTCCACCTGTGGAAGAAGAGAATTCCTTACATTAGAGATTTGGGGGAAACGCATCATGTGTTAGGTTACAAATGGCAGGCTGACTCTCTTCCTCCTCTTGCAGCTAGTTTTGGAGTTGCTAGGTCTGTAAGGACTGCCCCATGGGTCCCTACCATATCCTCCATAGTTCAAAAATCTCAACAGAACTCTCAAAATTTCCCAATGGAGCTGTGCAGACTAACTGGAACACTGGGTTTCTACCAACTAGATGTTTAATTAAGACACATAGAGCTCAAACAAGGTATAGAGCTTCTCTAAAGTCACATGAATAAAGTGGCCAGGTTAGGAATAGAATCTATCTGCTGGGGCTCTTGCCACTGTCTGGTTTATAGGATGAAGGGCAGCAAACAACAGAAGTTAATTCTGATTTCATACAGGAATATGTCTGGTAATGAGAAAAACAGCAAAATCTGAGGAATTGATTTCAGGGAGGTGGTAAGCCTAATGCTCAAACTGGACTCCTCTAAACACATCTGAGAAACTTATTAGTGCTAAGGATGACATATTCTTTTATTTCCCTTTTTGAAGAAAAACTAAGTCAATTAACAAGAAAAAAGACTCAAAATCTTATAACTTTTCAAACCACTACAAGTGATCCTCCTGCTGATTATTTAACACCTCGTCCCTGCTAAAACCCACAACTTGCCTTCCTCCCTCCAACCTTAGCTTTTTGTTTCAGTGAAGCTTTTTCTCCCTCCTGCGCTTGCATTTTGTTTCAGTGAAACAAAATAGAAGAAATAGAAACAGAACATGCATTTTATTATGGTCCTAAATCAGCCTTCCTACCTGATGAATGGCCCGTGTTTCTGCCCTGATAGAAGAATCACCTCCTTCTCCACTTGCCTCCATAACCTCTTCTTTCCCAGTGTATGGATCATCTGAATTAGTTTCATCAACATGCATAAGCATCCTTTACACAAGGTCCTTTAATATGCCCTTCAGTGTTTTCTATGCCTGTCCCTGACCCAATATTTCCTATATATACCCATTCCAAACATGTTTTTACCCATCATTCACTGGACCTGCCTTTGCCAAAGTCCCTGTTGCTCCATCATATCTTCACTAGATTCAAGGAGCACTTTTCAAGGTTCATCACACCTTACCTTCAATACTGTCTGCATTTGGTCGATAGACACCATACTTTCCTAACTTCCCTTTTTTTTCATTGGTTTATCCTTCATGATCTCCTTGGGGAAACTTCTGCCTCTTTCAAACTTTTAAAGATTGGAATACCTAGGGCTCAATGTTCCAATTTCTTCTCTTCTTTATCTACACCCATCCAGTCACATAGTTGGACCTATTTCTGCAATGCTTATAGTTAGATCTTCCAGCTAACCCTTTCACTTTACTCTCAACTGCCTACACAGAACAGTTTGCGGAGGTTTAAAGGCCCTCTCAAATTTGTCAACTCTCCATTGTAGTTCCTTTGGCAAACATCACATTTCACCCAATTTCTCAGACCAATGAACTGAAACATTCTTGACTTATTTCTTCCTCACACTACATGTTCAGTCTAACTGAAAATTCTCTTGTCTCTAATTTCAAAGTAAGGTTCACATTTGAGCACTTCAGATCTCCTTCATTCCTACCATCACAGGCCTAGGATGGCCATTGTCTCCAACTGATCTCTGAGCATCCAGTACAGTGCACAGAGTAATCCTTTAAAGCCATGCCCCATTCTGTGTCTCTACTGCTGTTAAATTTCCTCGGATTTTTAGCACTCACAGAACAATGCTCACATTCCTTCACTGATACACCTTCAAAGACTCTTCATAAATCATCCCTGGTATCACTTCAATTCCATTTCCTGCCCTCTCTTCACCAATCATGGCACTTTGGCGAAGACTCAGCTTCTGGCTGTTCTGTAAACTTACAGAAAACAATCCTGTCTCAGCACTTGCACATGCCATTTCTCCCGGTAGGTACTTCAATAGCGCATTCTCTTGCTTGATTCATTCTCTTGGTTGATTTTAGGTTTCTGCTTTTTAAGTCTCTGAAATGCCTTCTCTGTTCATGTATCTCAAATAGCACCACTGTGCTCTTACCACTGCCTTATGTTATGGTATTTGTTCATTTTATTGTTGTCTGCCTGAATGAACCAATTCCCCTCCAGAAGAACTTCATCCAGTACTGTTCTGGGCCTTGATTCTAATGAAACATTTGGCACATAGGAAAATTTTAATCAATACCTATTTAACTTACAAATGTGACAAACCTATTTGACAAATCTCTTATTTGGCTTTACCTAAGATGTAAGTAACTGAATTTAATCATAAGTCAGTGTTCATGACAGGAGTATGTGACTCAGAGAACATAGATGATACTAGTTGATAAGAAATTCAGAAGAGTAAAATAAAACTGTATGCCTCAATCATGGGTCTACCTAGAAAAGACAGTTCAGCTCTGGTGAAGATGAGCTTTTAGAAAATTGAATAAACTGGCCAAAATGTTCTTGATACCAAAATGCCCTGAAATCCCCCCATTCCAGTAAGTACCCCACTGATATTAGAAATTTGTGTCTAGGTGGTCTCCCTGGACCAAAATAGGATCAGTGTGGTCAAGGAACATAATTATTGTGGAAAATGAGAAAGGTGATTAGGCATTTGTTCTTTTTTAATATTACTACTATATTAACCCTTAAAACAGAGTCTTCACCCATTTGCTTGATGAGATGAGAGATGTTACTGTTATTATGGTTGTTGGTGGTGATTTTACATCAATACATCCAGATACATACTATACTTAGGAATGCTTGAACTATCCAGATGGCCTCATTCCTAAATGATAGGATAAACAGTACTTAGCAGTTACTTCTTGAATTCTGAACCAAAATTTCTATATATGTAAAGGAATGAGAGAAAATTGAGAGCTATCCAGGTTCAAGTATGGGGTCTTGAACTTGCTTACAATAAGAATGTAGATAAAGGTATGTAGATTTTTCTGGGATTTAAAAATTAGTAGTCATCAATGGAATAGAATTGAAAACCTAGAAATGAACCTACAGACCTACAGCCATCTAATCTTCGATAAGGGAGCTAAAAAAAATAGAATGGAAGAAAGACAGCCTCTTCA